AAATGCTTTTGAAAAGTAAAATGTTTAAAACTTTTTGAAGAATACGAGGTTTACCAGTTAATAATGAGGATTTTTTTCAATAGATGGAGTTACACATATGTTGATATATATGCGATTTGATATGTATGCTATTTTGTTGTATTGACAACAAGCTTCAAAACGTCATATGTCAAATTTGCTGAAGGTGTTAACATCAGATATTTTTACACTTAAAAACGTCGAATTTCGTGCCAAAAGAAGAGCATTTGTGGGAAGTTTTAATTCATTATCTTGAAGAAAAAGTTATTGTATACTTCGGGAAGCTGATAGTGAACATGTTCCATCTCAAGATACTTGTGAACGCTGGTTTAAACACTTTAAAAGTGATGATTTCGATGTGAAAGACAAAGAACGTCCAGGTCAACCAAAAAATTTGAAGACCAACAATTACAAGCATTATTGGATGAAAATGCATGTCAAACTCAAAAACAACTTGCAGAAAGATTAAACGTTGCTCAGCAAACAATTTCCGACCGTTTACAGGCAATAGGAAAGATTTTAAAGGAAATGGGTGCCACATCAACTGAATGAAAGACAAATGGAAAACTGAAAAGTCATCAGTAAAATGTTGCTTCAACGACACAAAAGAAAGTTTTTTGCATCAAATTGTGATTGGCGATGAAAAGTGGATTTATTTTGAGAGTCCCAAATGCACAAAATCATGGGTTGATCCAAGTCAACCATCAACATTGACTGCAAGGCCAAATCGCTTCGGAAAGAAGACAATGCTCTGCGTTTGGTGGGATCAGGAAGGTGTGGTGTATTATGAGCTTCTAAAACCAGGTGAAACCCTTAATACTGATCACTACCGACAACAAATAATCAATTTGAACCATGCTTTGATCGTGAAACGACCAGAATGTGCCAGGAGACACGGCAAAGTAATTTTGCTTCATGATAACACACCATCACACACTTCAAAACCAGTTAAAGACACGTTAAAAGATCTTGCCTGGGAAATATTAACCTACCCGCTGTATTCACCAGACCTTGCTCCTTCAGATTACCACTTGTTCCGATCGATGACACACGCACTTTCTGAGCAGCACTTCAAAACATATGAAGAAGTGGAAAATTGGGTCTCTAAATGGTTTGCCTCAAAACAAGAAAAGTTCTATTGGAATGGTATTCACAAATTATCTGAAAGATGGGGGAAATGTGTAGCTAGCGATGGACATTACTTTGAATAAAGCACTTTTGATGTTTCTCTTGAAATTCTTGTGTTTTCTTTGATTACAAAATCCGAATTATTAATTGATACACCTAGGATAGTAGATTCTCGTTATTTGCAATAGTTATATTCTATATAATCACTGTGACCACTGAATTTGCAAATTGTTCCTAGGGAAACTATTGTTCCTTTGGTCACTGTGAGCCTCTGATAACAGCATTTATGTCACTTAATCAACAACATAACTTTGTTTAATGTGTGTTTCTGTTGAAAAACACCTCATTTAATATATATTGTTGGTTAACACTGAACTCATGGCTAGCAACACTGTAACTCATGTCTGAATGAAGTAATTTTCTCCATAAGGTACCTCACCACTTTCTTGCACTTAGGAACACTAGACAGCACTTCAACACTACAATTGGGGGCCATTATAAACAGCAAAATCGCTAACAAAATAACACAAAAATAAAAATAAAAAAACTTTTAAAAAAATCCCATGTGGCACTAAATAGACTGTCAGGACACTTGTTTACAGCAAGAGAGCTGGAAGAAGGCAGACTGTCACTTTGTTCGACCTCAGCTGGGAACATATGTGACTCAAAATGTCCACTACTTTGCACATAGTCACCATAAATATTTTCATTTATAAATAAATTTTAGCGAGTACATGAAGTTGCAAATATAAAAATCTGTGAATAATAAGGATCAACTGTACCTTTATGATATTTCCATGGTTGGAAAGGATATTTTTGGGTTTTGGTAAGATTCAAAAATTATGAATTATAAACAAAAATTCAAAACTTTGCTTGAAAATATATGTCAGAAAGAAAGTGAAAAATCAAGTCACACACTGGGAGAAGATATCTGCTTGCCAAATAAAGAACAGTGGGTTAGCATCAAGAACTTAAAAGTTCCTAAAAATTAGTAAGAAAAGGGCAAACAGCTGCAGTATTATAATAAGCAAAGGATAAGAACAAGACTTTCTTGGAAAATAGACTGACCAACAAACTAATAAGATGCTCAATCTCACTTGTAATAAAGAAATATAAATTAAAAGTGAGATATTTCATAACTCTCTATAAACACATACACACAGAGGGTTGGGCAAAAGTAGGTTTACAGTTATTGGTATGGAAAATAATACAATAATAAATAGTAATACAAGAATAAACTGTTTTTCATGTACTCACAACTGTAAACCCACCTTTGCCCACACCTATATGTGTGTGTGTGTGTGTGTGTGGGTATGTATATATATATATATATATATATATATATATATATATATAG